CATCTTCCCTTCTCTCCTCCTAGTCCCACTCTCTCTCCTTCTCCCCCTTTCCTCAGTAAAAGGGAGCTCCCTTTCCCATTTACTCCAGCTCATCATGTTGCATCAGGACTGAATGTGTCTCCTTCCCCTGCAGCCTCTCCTCTGAGAAGATCTACCCAGAAGTGTCTCAAAACAGATGCTGAGACTTACAGCCAAACATTGGTTGATGGGTAGGGAGTCTTGGGGAATAGTGGGAGGAAAGAGAAAAAAACCTGAAAGTGTCAGGAGCTCCACAAGAAAAACAAAAGAGCCAAGTAATCAAGTTAATTTTAAATTGTCAAGAAACAATGAAAATCATTTTTTTCTAGAGTAAAATCATTCTATTTTTAGTCTTGTTTTCCTGCCTTCTCTCTAACTTTGTGCAGGTTTGTTAAGTGCTGTCTTACTTCTTCAGGTGTAATATGGGGTATTGGTGGCTGGAGAGATGGCTCAGTAGTTAAAAGCATCCAAATTTGGTACCCAACACCCACGTGGTGGCTGACAACTAACTGTAACTCCAGTTTCAGGGAATCCAATGCCCTTTTCTGGTTTCTACAGGCACCAGGCACGCATGTGGTGCACATGCGTCTATGCAGGCAAAATATCCATACACATAAAATTAGATCATAATAAAAATTAAGAATATTTTATAATACTTAAAAATAGGATTAATAAGAGAGTATTTATAAGGTGCTTGAAACAGTAAGTAGCATGTAGCAGTTCTCAGTAAGTAATGCTACTAAACAGGTTATAAAATGCTTTTAATACTATTTGATTAAACATATTTTTAACTGTCCTCAATTAACTATAGGGAAAAAAGATCTTTGTGTTACAGAATAACGTGAAGATTTAGTTGAGAAAAGTTGCAAAAGAATCCATGACTGTTAGGCAATAGCCTGTGAGAAAAGTTTCAACTAAAGAGGATAAAAGGCTTTGAAGTTACTGAAAATGATTCGGGTCAAGAACAGGTCTATTCCAGTAAAAGGTGGGGATGGCAGAAAAGCAGAAGAAAAAAATCTTTAGTGTGCAAGCCAGTGGCAGTTCTCAGAGTCTCTGTTCTAACTTGTGAACTCATTACCAACTTAACTTGCCTTATAATATGATGAAGATATATTTTAAAAGCCTCAGCCATGTGGTTAGTCTAATAAAGTTATCTGTTCTCTTTTAGCCAAATAAGAAGCTGGCAACATTTTCTTATAAGTGTGTGTGTGTGTGTGTATACATTTTTTTTTCTGGCACTCTTCCAAAATGCTATTACTCAAGTGAATGACAGACGTGCTTAGTTCATGGGAAACATCTGAGCTGTGGTTTACCTTCTTAGTTCTCTCGGGCAAGTGCCACAGGAAACTGTTAAAACAGTGATAGGAAATCAGCCTACAGTTAACATCAAATATAGATACAAGATTAATAACAGGCTGGCATTTTCTGCTGTGCTGAGACACACTCCAAGACTGAAAAAAAAAAAATACGGCCCTGTTATGACTGCTTTTAAAAGTAGTCACCCAGGAATCCAAAAATAGCCACCATTTGAAGTTGAGGCCGCCTGACACATCAGGCTCATTACTTCAATCTGGGTACCGCCTTTGATACTATTCGCAGTTCTCAAGTAGGCCATTAAGAAAAGCTGGATAGAAAAGAATGGCTGTGTTGCCAGTCTTTGAGGTGATTCATGCATCTCCTTATTCACACTATAGAAAACTGAATTTATGTTGGGATATAGAAAAATCATAAGGAAGCCAACCCAGGTAATTAATACAAATGTGCTTAACTCTCTGAAAGAGAAATGCAGGAATTGGCCAAAGCTGTGTAAAGATTTTCGCAGCAGAGTCTTGGGGGTGGAGCTGGTTGAACATGTGGGGGTAAGGAAGAGCTTTGTACTTCTAGATACAGTCTTAGCAATTTTGAAGGAAACCATCAAAAGCAAGCAAAATATTCAAAACAGCGATGAAAGGAAACATTTAAAATTAAAAAAAATGCACAAGTTGTTTTTCTTGGAGTGTTAGATATTTACAATATGTCTTTCAAACACCAGTGTACAATGACTATATGGTTTCTTTAATTAATAGAGGGTTGGCGGTTCAGAAAGAGGAAATGCCAGTTTTTGGAATCAGCCCAAGGCATTGCTATCAAATGATGTCCAAGTGGTAAATAAGGGTCACTACTGTGCAAGGTCTGAGCATGGCAGTAACTTCTGGTTGCTTCCAATGGGAACTGTCACCATTGTTGAGTGTTTTAGTTTGTTTTTGATTGCTGTGACAAAACACTGAGCACAAACAACTTGGAGAGGAAAGGGTTCATTTCACCTCATAACTCCCAGCTCACAATCCATCCCTGAGGCGAGTCAGGGCCGGAACTCAAAGCAGGAAAAGAGTAAGAACCATGGAGGAACTCTGCTTACTGGTTTGCTCACTTGCTCAGCCTCAGCTTATTTTCCTATACAGTCCAGGCATCTGCCCAAGGGTAGCACCACCCACAGTGGGCTGTGCCCTTCCACATCAAGCATCAATTGAGAAAATGCTCCACAGACTTCCATAGGCCAATCTGACTGAGGTAATCCCCAATAGACACTCTGTCAGAGAATTTGGCTGTGTCAAGTTGATAGCTAAAGCTAACTAAGAGAAAGCGCTTAGAGAAAACATTCCCCACATTGAAAGCATAACAGTAGAGCCATCATTCTTTCCACATTCCATTCTTAAATGTTCAAGGTTTTAGAAAAATGTCATATTCAGTATAGTCCAATATTTCAGACATATGAGGTATTAATTAATCTTCCTGCATTTCAGACTGCTTCATGCTCAGAACACGAATCACGGATAGATGAGAAAGGTGCAGTATCCCCTTTTGCATTCAGCAATGTAAATTTGGTTGGACCATAGGGCTGACTTCATCATTTTCACCAGTTTTTACAACATTTTTATGGATCCCTAAAGAGATCTAGGAAGGGTCTCAGCAATAATGGAGCATAGGCCTTGCCTTCAGCAGGTGCCACTTGATTCTTCTGTGTGGGATAAATCTAGAGATATAATGACCACAATCCACATTTAAATATATTTCACTGTTAAATCAATTAAGTTGAACACACAGATCAAACTGTCACATGGACATTAAACAGAATGCTGAAAGTCACGCGCGATTACTTTTACTGCGAGTGTGTATTTGATCTCTGCTCTAATGGGAATGCATTATATATTTATCCATGTCAACTTATAAGGCAGCTAATTTACTAAATGTAAAATACCCACTTAAATAAAAATCCCCAAAGTTAACAAAACCAGAATTATGGCAATATCATGCCATATTAAATCTGAAAGATCACCTCAGTAGGTGTACCCAAGGCAAATAAGATGATGGAGAACAGGAAGTTATTTTCTGAGAAAGATCTTTAAAGATCTGAAGCAGAGAGAGAAAGACTTAAAGACTATTGTGTGTTCGTGCCTCCATGGCTAGAAAGAGCTATCAAGAGGCAGCAGGCAACTGAGAAAGAACTTTCTTTCTAGCTTGAAGAACAGAACTACATTGGCATTGCCCTTGGAACAGGAACACAACCATTTTTTAAATAATTTTTATTTTTTTATATTAATCACAGGTATCCCAGCCGTAGCTCCCTCCCTCATTCCCTCCCAATCCCATCCTCCCTCCCTCATCTCCTCCCTGTCCCTTTCCAAGTCCACTGCTAGGGGAGGTGCTCCTCCCCTTCCATCTGACCCTAGCTTATCAGGTATGTTCAGGACTGGCTGCCATGTCCTCCTCTGTGGCCAAGGAAGACTGTGAAAACAATTTTTCATCGGTTTTACAATCTGGATTGGAACATTCCTGCAGTCACCCATGAACCAACCTTCTACAGTAGAAGTTGAGTGAATCTTGGCCAACCACCTGCCTTGTGAATTGTTTTGTTTGGGTCTTTCATGGGACAGAGTCAGTATTTTGCAGGAGTTTCACATTAAGTGATAATCCTTCATAATCTTTTTTGAGTAGATAATTCAGAATGAAAAATCTTTGGAGTGGGGGTGGGGTAAAATGATCAATGCCTTGCTCTAGGGGGTGTGTGAACTGCTACTTGCTTTTCTCCCTACCTTAGCAGGATGGTTTCCAAAAGGAAAAGATGCTTATTTTTGTAGATGAGAGAGGCTGGTGTTAACAGCACCTGTAGAGGGGGACTGTCCTTCTTGAAAGCACTCTGCAGCTCTCACCACAGGGAGAAAGATTAAGGGATGAGATCAAGGGGATTACTCAACAATTCCTGACTCTCCAAACAAGAGGGTAAACTATCTTGTAAATTAAATCCCACCTTCTCAGCTTGGAAATAATTGGAGTAAACCTCACTAAGAACTTCCAGCTTTTGGATTTGAATGGTTGCCTAGCAAATGAGAAAGGCAAAAGAGCAGGAAAACCAAATTTAGCTGTCTAATAATAGCTTTGATATGCAGTGTTTTTAGTTTTATGATATGATTTTAACTATATTTCTGAGAGATGCCAGGTCTGAACTCCACAGGAGGCATCATTTCAAACTGAAGCTCAACAGAATGGAGTCCCTTCTGAAACTCCAGAAGCTAGGGACAACACAGAAATGTGCTATTTGTTTGGGCATTGTGAGGTGGGTTGGGGGAAAATCATATTTCAGAGTGTAGAACTCATGGTCGTATTTAAAGTTTCCAGAGCATAAGCCACGATTTTGGTCTCAATGTATGGTAGAGGGTATGTGTTAATAGGAATAACACACAGATGCCCATTTGAATATAACCTAATGGCATATTGTAGAGCTAATTAACATGTGGGCACATGCATATATACACAACAAACAAACACATACTCACACACAAAGAGAGAGAAATAGAGAGAGTCAGTGACAGAGAGAAAGAGGGCCAGTCCACAGGAAGTAGTTCCTGGATGTTGCTTTCTTGTATCTACTGATACTGATGTTGTAAAGCAAGAAAGAGAAGAAAATATGCAGCACCATTAAGTCCTGAGACTTTGATACTCACCTATAACACAGAAAGGCTTTCGAGCAAACCTCAGTCTCCCTTGCCATCCTCTATAACGACAACAGCAACCTGCAGACCAGATTCGAATGATGAACTCCAAGCCAAAGACAACGATCATCACGAACTCCTGAAATGTCAAAGCAGACATGTCAGAGAGAAGCATTATGGAGTAACAACCGACTCTAAGAAGGTGTGTGAATATTTCTGCACCTTTAGGTACTGTGCTCTTGCCACATGTGAGAAGAATATCTCTTCTCCACAAAACTAGCCTGAAGACTACTGAAGCCTCCTGTTTTCTGTGTCTCCTGTCAGGGGATGTGTGCTTGCTCAAGTCTGTAGCACTGTGAAAGTGTCAGCTTTAATATGAAATGTGCAGGTTGAATAGTAATGTTTTCTCACCTGGGATATAGAGTGTAGCTGGTTTTAACTGCTTGGTAACACAGAATAAAGAGAGCAAACTGTGAAATACAGTGGCAAGTGCTGTAGACCATAGAGCTTCACGGTGCTGTACCAAATGCCATAATCCCTCAACCTCAGAGAATAAGAGGTAAGTTTTAGGAGTATTCAGCCTTTTGTTACAGTGTCAGAATCCACACAAAAGACAGGCAGTTTCAGAAGAATAGCTACGCATGTGAAGTGCTGTCTATCATAAATGAGACCCAGAATCTTCAAGGTCTGAGGCTTGTTAATTATCATGTTGCCCTTTGGCAATAGCTGCCTGGAAAACAACACCTGTGGCAGCAAAAGGACTTGGGAGGTTATTTGTGAAGAGCTGTGAGTTAAAACCCAGGGGAAAGGCCAACTATAGAGGCTTTTAAACAGTCACTGAAGGAAGAAAGCAGAGGAGATTTGCAAAAGAAAATAATTCTCGAGTTAGTCTAGCAAAGTCACTTGTCTTTACAGGAACAGATCTCAGTTTATCCTAATTACTTTGTTTTAAAAGACCACTACCTTTCTTTTTTTTTCGGGAGGGATTTTAACTTTTTTAAAAATTTATTTTTTCTATATTAATCACAAGTTATTTACTTTGTATCCCAGCCATAGCCCCCTCCTTCATTCCCTCCCAATCCCTCCCTCATCTTCTCCCTGCCCCTTTCCGAGTCCACTAATAGGGGAGGTCCTTCTTCCCTTCCATCTGACCCTAGCTTATCAGGTCTCTCCAGGACTGGCTGCAATGTCCTCTTCTGTGGCCTAGCAAGGCTGCTCCTCCCTCGGGGGGAGGGGGTTGAAGAACCTGCCCTTGAGTTCATGTCAGAAATATTCCCTGTTCCCCTTATTAGAGAACCCATTTGGACACTGAACTACCATAGGCTATATCCGAGCAGGGGTTCTAGGTTATATCCATACATGGCCCTTGGTTGGAGAAACAGTCTCATGAAAGACCCCTGTGCCCTGATATATTTGGTCCTTGTGGCACTCCTGTACTCTCCAGGTCTTACTAACTCCCCCTTCTTTCATATGATTCCCTGCACTCTGCCAAAGGTTTGGTTATGAGTCTTAGTATCTGCTTTGATACATTGGTAGGTAGAGTCTTTCAGAGGCCCTCTGTGGTAGGCTCTTGTTCTTTACTTGTTTTCTCCTACTTCCAATGTCCATCACATTTGTCTTTCTAAGTGAGGATTGGTCATCTTACCCCGAGTCCTCTTTCTTGTTTATCTTCTTTAGGTGTATAGATTTCAGTATATTTATTCTATCTTATAGGTCTATAAAAGTGAGTATATACCATGTATATCTTTCTGCTTTTGGGATACCTCACTCAGGATGATCGTTTCTAGGTCCCACCATTTGCCTGCAAATTTCATTATTTCCTCATTTTTAATTGCTGAGTAGTTTTCCATTGTGTAAAAGTACCACAATTTCTGTATCCATTCTTCAACTGAAGGACATCTGGGTTGTTTCCAGGTTCTGGCTATTACGAATAAAGCTGCTATAAATATGGTTGAACAAATGTCCTTGTTGTGTACTTGAGCATCTTTTGGATATATGCCTAGGAGTGGTATAGCTGGATCTTGAGGTTCACTATTCCTATTTGTCTGAGATAAGCATTGTCAGTATTTACAGTGTAGATGATGCACATCAATCAACTTCATTATAATAGATGAATCATAAAATTGCTATATAGTTTTTATTAAAGCTGCCTACCATCACAGATATGTAGTCTGTAGAAACATCGAGGTTCCAACCCATTTTTCACTCAGGTAAAGTTGTTACCAAACTCATGAAAACTACACTCTTGTACATGCTTTCTGCACGCACGTCTTTAGAGCACGTGATTATATAATATGCATTTGAAATAACCCCCAGAGGCCCAGCACTCCATCCTCCAGTTATTCTGCACTAAGGAACTCACAAGCACTTCTCACAATGAGAGCTAAATCCCCCATAGCCATGATGACTCGCTGTTACTTCAAACCACTTCTTGGACTACTGTCTGCAACTGGCTTTATGCACAGATGACCAAATCTGAGGTCAGTATGCCAGCACTGATGACTTGCAGGTTAGTTTTGGTTTGGTTGGGTTTTGAATGCTATTGTGAGCAGTCTATTTATTTGTTAAGGTGTCAGATTGTTACATTTTTTTTTTAAGATAGGGTTTCTCTGTGTAGTCCTGCTGTCCTGGAACTTGCTCTGTAAACCAGGCTGGCCTCAAACTCACAGAGATCTACCTTCCTCTGCCTCTGGAGTGCTGGGATTAAAGGCCTGTACCACCAATGCCGGGCACATTATCTGTTTTTAATAGAACATTTTCCAACATACACAAGCCATGCTTTCATATAAAATCCCCCATTTAGCTAAGCCTCTGCACAACTTATGTTTATAAGAGGACTGCACCCCCACCCCTGAGACCACTGCTCTTTCTCTGGACTCCTACTTCTACCAGGAAGTATGGTACTCTAGTTGTGAGAAGTTGTACTGTGGAGCATACCCTCCTCATAAAACTTGATGTGTGCTGCATCTCACAGACACCACCATACAATGATGCTTCTGTCTCCTATAAACAGATAATACCAGTAGCTACATGAGCATTGTTCTTAAGGAGAGGAACGTTGAAGCCATTGTTCCATTTCCATGCTGCAGTGAGGCAGGATAAATTATGTCTACAAGTTCTTTATTTCATGCCCTTTGTTCAGGAATACAGCTTGATGCTTCTGGTTTTTGTTTTGTTTTTAAGAGATTAGGGAGGAATGCCAATGTGCTTTCTTGGTGAAGCAAAAAACTGGTAGAATTGAAAAAAGAACAAAGAAATCCATAATTGTATTTGGGGGGCATTGCCATCCACTTTTCTTAGAAGTGATAGGACAGAAGTAATGGAGGGAAAGGCAGCAGGTCTACAGAATATCTGGATAATGGGATCTAGATAGTGATTCGCATCTTCCACAACCACAACAGAACATGCACCATCATCTTAGAAATGTCTTGATTCAGTTCTCATGTTCATTAAAATAAATTCAAGACAGAGCATGTTCTAAGTTGTCAGCAAACTTTGGCATTGAAAAGAATTAAACATGTTGTTGAATTAGAAGGGATTTCAATTATAAATCAGTAGTAAAAAGACAAGCAAGTCTCTAAACACGTGGAAAAATTTAAAATATACTTCTATGTATTTTATTAGCCAACATAAATCTCAGAGAAAATTACAAAATATAACTGAAAGACAATAATAATCCAACCTATCAAAATGTACATGTGAAACCACAGCAGTGAGGAGGGGGTAAATTCATATCACAAAAATGCTCACATTAGAAATGAAGCTCTCAAACTAGTAATCTAGGACCACAATTGAAAACTGGAGACCGAAGAATAAAACTAGCCCAAAGAAAGCAGAAAAAGGAAATAGCACACACAAGAGAAGAAAGTAAAGAAATAAACAAATAACAATTAACTAAACAGAAAATTTATGAAATTAGAAGGTAGTTCTATGAAAAAAAAATTAGTAAGATTGCTGAATCTTTTGTAAGTGGATAGAAATCACCCATGTCAGGAGTGTAACAGAGGGTGTCACTACAGGCATGGTGGCTGTGAAAAGTCAGTAACGAGTCTTTAAGAGAGTAGCTTCTGACGGTAACGGAGGACACAGTCTCACAGCAAACTCCCTTACCCTACAGCTCTCACAACCTGTCCGTGCCTTCTTATGCAGCAATGCCCCCTAAGCCTTAGGGGTGGGGGTGTTTTTTAAATGTGTGTGTAAAGCTCGAGCTCCACAACTCTGCATTGTGATCGGTTGTGGTGTTCTGTAGTGGTCTCCATCTGTTGTAAAGAGAAGTTTTCTTGATGAGGGGTAACGGTTACGTTCACTTGTAGGCATATAGACAAATGTTTAGACTCTAGTTAGGGATTATGCTGGATTAGAAAAGTAGGAAAGTGGTTTAAGTTCTGCTTCTAGTTCTGTGACTTCACTAGCCCTGAGTAGTTAGCTAGGTTTCCACTACTTGATTTCCTTTTTGTTGAGCTGTTGCGTGGGTCTTAACTTCAATTAGAGAGCTGTTGGTTTCTGCCACTACTGGACCCTTAGGATGATTGTGCTATGCTAGTCATTGTGTGGTTCGTAGATCGGGAAGGTCTTACCACGGTTGCCATGGTAGCCACGGTTGCCTAACTATGAGCTGAATAGCAACAGGGAAAAGCACCTAAGGCCTCAACCCTACACAAAGACTACAGGCAACTAAAGGATGCTAACTGTGGGAGAAATAGTCTTTCACAGGGGAAAGCACACCGATTTGTTTTACCCTACCAAATGATCAGCCCTGAAAGCATACATACAAGTAACAAACAGTTTGAGCATTTTTAGGAACATATATATGTGTGTAGCAACAATTAATAAGAAAAGAGGCCATGCACTTGAAAAAGAACAAGTAGAAAAATATGGGAAGGTTTGGAGAGGGGAAAATGATGTAATTATGTTATAATTTCAGAAAATAAAAGAAGCAATTAAAATCACAAAGGGATGCAAGGAAGGATGGTGTGAAGATAAGTCCAACAACTCAGAAAATTGGACAAAACCCATGAACAGAAAACAAAGAATTATCTGAATAGTTCTATAAACTATAAAAACTGAACCTATAATTAAAAAGCTTTTGAAAAAGCTGTGTCTAGGCCAAACAATTTCATTATTGAAACCAACTGAACA